TTCTACAAACAACCTTTCATGACCATAATCATAGCTGGTAAAGATGCTGGTGTAGCAGTATGCGGGCTGGCATGCCTAAATGCATGATCATAGAAATTTCCTTTGTCTCTTTCACTCGGTGCAATAGCACAGAGTGTATTTCCTTTCCCCTTTGTCCACTTCCTGAAATAGGTTATGCAATAATAGTGAAAATGCCAAACGGCATGCTTGAACCTTACAAAGAACCAAAACACACAGAAACACCAAGACTCTTGTCTTGTTCTTTTTCTGATTTGAATACGACCAACGTGTCTTCGCAGAGAGGCTTCCAGAGGTGAAGTTTTCACTGAGGCCAGGGGGACCCAGAGAAGACACTAGCCTCTCAGAGTTCCAAGTTGAGCTAAATCCAGCTCGCGTCTCAGCTCAACGGGGATTATGTGCTTAATGCATATCCAAATATTGGGAAAAGCATGAAAGTGGGAGAGACAAACAGATATGCAGAGATCAGTGAACGGGTTTTTTGGAAGCTGGAAAGGCCGCTCTTAAAGCTGGAGCTAATGACTCTGCCATAGTCACAATGAGGCCTTCCCTCACTAGCAGGGTTTCTGTGGGAGAAATAGCGATAATCTTAGAACGCAGTAATGCTTTTCATCATACCCAGATGGATACCTATAGTGCCTTATTGACATAGTGGCGTGAAAAACAAAACATATGTAGCCTAGTGTAATGGGCCTTGTATTGTATTTTAGTTTGACGGAAATTATTTTCCTTTTGTTTTAGTGTCGATGTATATCTCTCTAAGGTAGTCAGGTCGCACATAAACCTTGGATCAATACGCTCTGTGCTTAAGCAACTTAAGATAAATACAGAATATAGCGTGAACAACTTTTTTTTTTTTGGGGCGAAAAATAACACAGCTTTTCTGATTTTTTTTGGGGTCACAAGACCTAAAGAAACATTCTGTGTTCAGACATTCCATCACAGGGAGAATTATTATAAAATTCTAAAAAAAACAATATAATTATTAAAAAGTTTAATGACTATAGAGCAACTTGTAATAACAATTTTTAATATGTGAAATGAAATTTTTTATTTGTCTTGAGATTTTTTTTTAATGGGAAAATGACACAAAAATGATACTTCAACTTGAAAATATCAAAATAATAATTTGAATTTGCAAAATTCTAATTTAGGCACAAGTGACCGATTTGGTATTTTTAAATTTGCTGAAATGACTATGTTGCTATTTATTTTATTTATTCTTTTTTAAAAAACCAAAAGCCCCCACTAGCTGGCCGGTTACTAGAGCTCAGGTGGCCACCGTCACCAGAGCTCTGGTGCCTAACAATAATTTTTTTGAAAATTTTTACAATTTCAATAAAACAGTTAATAACTCTTGTAACGCTACTAACAAGTTCAGTATAGTAGTTAACAACAGGTTATCTAGAAAATTCAAAAAGTAGTATTTTTACAACTTCAATAACGCTGTTAACAAGTTCTGTTACTCTATTAACAACTTCGGTATAACATTTAACAACAGGTTTTTTAAATAAAAAATAAAAAATATGGCATTTTTACAACTTTGGCAACTTTTTTTTTTTGAAATTTTTTTTACAACTTTAGTAAAACTGCTAACAAGTTTCGTAATGCTATTAAAGAGTTAAATATAGCAGTTAAACATAGGTTTTTCAAGAAATTCAAAAAGTAACTTTTTTTCAATTTCAGTAATGCTGTTAATAAGTTTTGAACCCTATAATAAGTTCGGTATAGTATTTAACATATCGCGAAGCTTATCAGGGAGATGTTTTTTATTACATTCACGCCTTTTGGAAAGAGCCGCTAAATCAAGTTCTCAGTTAGGTGAAGGAAGTATGACCGCTTTACCATAGTTGAGACCCAATCGGGAGATGTTTCAAGCTTATATTCCTACTATGTAATTTCCATTACAGATGACCAAATATTTATATCCGTCGATCTATTCAATACTTTCTTACTTACTTATAAATAATAATATAATAATAAATATATCTTAACTAAATAGAATATATTAATATTAATATTAATATTATTCTATTATTATTAGTCTGTTGTTTTCTGAAAATTTAAAAAGTAGTAATTTTACAATTTCAGTAACATGGTTAACAAGTTTATAATGATATTAACAACTTCAGTATACACCACAAAAGCTGAATGAAATTTAAAAATCTCCACAATTCCCATATTGTTGAACATTTACCTCAATATAATGATATTAATTAGTTTGCAATGTCAATAGTATAGATAGTTATTTGTATATAGCTCAATGTCTAAAACCTAAAAGAAGAAGGTTGCTTATACATGGTCAAAACTTATAAAAGTTTAGTGTGATTTTTAGTTTTATTTTGTTATTTTTAAGGGAACAGTCTCTCTCAGAGGATTTTCGATTTTGGGCAGCAAAACTAATTAGCAAAAAACTTGTTTAAAAGGGTGTTTGGATAGAAACCAAACCATGGTTTCAGAAGTGTTTTTACGGTTTATGAAGTAAATATGTAGAAGAATCTGCCTCATTTTACGAAAAAGTACTTTTGAAACTATAGTTTGGAGGCTGCTAAACACCCCATAAATCTCAACACAAGTACACAACTACCACCACCCCCAAAAAAAAAAGTCGCGCTCATGCCTTAGCCCGTAAAGAACCACTGAAGCAGAATGCACAAACTGTCAACGTTAAATGAACACCCGCTAGCCCATTGGCCAACTACCTTTCAACCTCACCCCAATCTTCCTATTTATCCCTGTGCTTCATCCTCCTCCCCTCTCGCACTCTCTGTCTCTCTACAGCACCTAGCTACTTTTCAGACTCACCAAGCCCACACACACACACACACGCATCATTTCAAATAAAGTTATCCTCAAACTTGCTATTTCTCTTGCCCCTTCTTCGTCTCTCTTACTCATGGAGGCTTCATGGGAGCAAAGTGTTGCATACTCCCTCAACACCATCTTCCTTCTCTTCTCTGCCTACCTCGTCTTCGTCATGCAAATCGGATTCGCCATGCTCTGTGCAGGCTCCGTCAGAGCTAAAAACGCCGTCAACATTATGCTCACTAATGTTGTAGACGCCGTCGTCGGAAGCATCTCTTTCTACTACCTCTTCGGCTTCGCATTTGCCTACGGCGACGGCCCCAGTTCCAACCCTTTCATAGGCACGGATCTCTTTGCTCTCGTTAGCATTCCAAACGGCACTTACGATTACAGTTTCTATCTTTACCAATGGGCGTTCGCCATAGCCGTAGCGGGCATCACAAGTGGTTCTATTGCTGAGAGAACCCAGTTCAGTGCTTATCTTGTATTCAGCTTTTTCCTTGCGGGCTTTGTGTACCCGGTCGTAGTCTACTGGGTCTGGTCTTCCAACGGTTGGCTCAGTACGAGTTCAAGCAATCTGTTTCTGGGCTCAGGTGCGATTGACTTCGCCGGAAGCGGAGTGGTGCATATGGTTGGCGCAGTGGCTGGCTTTTGGGGTTCACTAATACTAGAACCACGGGTCGGCCGGTTTGATGCATTTGGCAAGCCCGTGCCGCTCCGAGGCCACAATGCGAGTCTAGTGGTACTCGGCACGTTTCTTTTGTGGTTTGGATGGTTTGGATTTAATCCCGGCTCGTTTGATAAGATTTTGGTGCCGTATCCCGACGCATCCGATGAGGGTAATTGGACGTCCATTGGCCGAACGGCGGTCGTGACCACCTTAGCTGGTTCGACGGCGGGAATCATCACGTTGTTTGGCCGGCGGTTGATAATTGGTCACTGGGATGCATTTGACATTTGCAATGGATTGCTTGGCGGGTTTGTTGCTATTACCTCTGGATGCTCCGTGGTTGAGCCATGGGCTGCTATTATTTGTGGGTTTGTCTCAGCTTGGGTCTTGATTGGGCTGAACGTATTGGCACTAAAATTGAACTATGACGACCCGTTAGAGGCAGCCCAATTACATGGGGGGTGTGGGGCTTGGGGTTTAATATTCACGGGCTTGTTTGCCAAAGAGGAGTTCGTGATTCAAGTCTACGATAAAGGTGTGACTGGGGTGAGTAGACCCTATGGGCTTCTATTAGGAGGTGGATGGGCCTTGCTTGGAGCCCAAATTGTGGAATTGTTGGCTATATTGGGCTGGGTTAGTATCACCATGGGCCCTCTGTTCTATGCCTTACACATGCTTAAGCTACTCAGAATCTCAAAAGACGATGAAGTTACAGGCCTTGACATCTCAACCACACGGAGGATCTGCTTATTCTCATCACGACGAAAACGTTCCTCTATCTTACGCCGATTATATGCGCGTTAGAGATAATCAATCATGATTACGTTTCAATAACAGTTTAGCAGTCATATTTTTTCAAAGCGCTGTACTGTTAAGAAAGTTGAATTTGAATATCTTATTGTTTTGCCTTTGAACACACACAAACGTCAGCCTCTTCTATTACATTTACATCCAACTTCTTGAGTTTCACACCATAATATTTTTAGAAGGACGTAGAGATTAAGCAGATTACTACTCAAACTTGTACAGAACTTTGCTAACACTCCATTTTAAATAAAGGCAATAAGTAAGGATTGACGTAAGGCACACCTAGAGATTGTAAAGTGACTTCCTCATCTATTGCTTTTGTGTGAAACTGAAACGCAAGGATAAATCAGCTAGTTGAGGCAAATATTGTGCCCTCCCATTCTTCTGGAAGGCTGTTCCATTACATTACAATAAAATATTATCAACTTCAAGCATAAAGACGACACAAACCTGCTTGGAACCATAAGATGAAGCCACTGCTATGAACATTAAGCCGGACAATATGTACAATCAGTTACTATCTAAAATGGCATGTACGGCGAAACAGTTATGTGCAAAGTTCTTGAGGCCTGTAAATATAGCCGTTAACTCCTACAGGGTTCATAAGAGACATGCGTGGGGTCCGGATCAACAATAGGCAACTTCTCCATGTACCAAAGCAACCTCTTAAGGTTCTCTTTGAAAATCGCTCTGATATCCATAATATCACCCTCATCTATGTAATTCCAAAGGTCACATGAATTGACCCTTTTAAGATTTCCCCGGCAAAAGGGGCATGACTCGGATTTCTCACACCTGAAGGGGCAATGCAAAAGGCACACAATCATCACCGAGTCCTGTAACTCGTACAGTGTACATAGTAAAAGAATATCCAAAGCACAAATTGTTTTAAATAGCGATGTGCAGGGTGTAACAGTCTATATATTTAGAAAACCTAGTTGCTTGGTTTTATCACTAGTAGCACTTACTCTCTTATATGACATTATTTCATAGGACTAGTTGTGAAGCAGAGGATCCAAGATTACAAAAATAATGATAAAAATTTGATAAGAAATTCATAATATCGATAACATCCCTCAATTCCCATCTCAGGGAAGTGTAACATACTGACATCCTTTCTCTTTCAGATTTACATGTTATTAATGTTGAATAACAGACTGTAAAATACATATCACAGGTGGGACAACTCCAATTAGCAAACATAAAGAATGATGCCATAATATGACAGTGACACAATATGATATGAGATAGGAATCTAACACGGAGAGGGATAAGAAAGAAAGAGACAAGGAATTTTACCAATCCCTGAAGCACTTCAAACACATGCAATGGCAGCAATTAGGCAGCACAACTTTTGCCTTCACCTCCATGCAAATTCCACACTCCTCTTCTCTTTCCACGTCAAATTTTGATTGTTTTTCTTTCTTCTTATATCTAATAGCATATACTTCATTTTGTTTCTTTTCCTCCAAATCTGTGATGCCCTTCTCAAGTTGCAACAAAGCAGGAAATATAACCGCTGTATGCCAGGAAAGAGGCAAAGCAAAAGGTGTAAGTATATGTATGTTCGGTAACGATACTATAAGAAACGGAGGTAATTCCGCCCGAAAAAGAGCAAAAGGCATACAGTTGAAATACTCATTCATCTTTCACCAAAGGGAACTTACAGTTAAACTCTTTAATGCTTGCTTTCCTTTCATATATTGACATGGTGGTCTTCCCATCTCCATAGGTCTGCATTAATCCCATCATGCCACTACATTTACTAAATTATATGGAAAATGCAGTAAAACAAAATCAAATAGACAATGACAGGAAGCTTTGACAAAGACAAATGAAGCAAAGCAGATTTAATCAAAAACAGATACATTAGATAGGTGTGATCTGTGAAGGGCATATACCATATAAACTAGAACTCTCAGTAAACCCAGAGCACCAGCCAGGTGGTAATCCGCCCATTGAACAAGAAAAAGAAATAAGGTAGCACCTGGACCGTATGACAGTCTCATTTGAAAGCATGCTCCATCTTTATCTCTCGGATACCCTAATAACCTGGAAAAATAACAAGATAATGAGAAACATAGACATTAAATATAATATTCGGATGAAATAAAGTGCGCTCATCATATTTGTATTAACCTGGAAAAGAGCTCCCTACAGTTTTTATGTGTCATTAATTTGCATTACTTTTCATATTTAAATAACTTATCCCTGGAAAGACCCGTTTCAAGCTCCAGTATACCCCATGTGCAAACTTGTTACCATTTGGTTCTCGAATAAAAAACAGTGCAAGCAAATATACAGAAAATCACATTTACATATAAATAAAAAGTCATTCAAGGCTACTTTTGGCCCAAAAAACCCAGGTCGTCTCAGGCTGCAGCCTGCAATTCACAAGCGTCGGACCAAAATTTACATATTTAAAAAAAATAGGTGAACAATTCTACCGATGGGAAACAGGGAACGGGAATTAAAACAGTTCATGGTCAGGCATCGGATTTCAAACATTTTAAAGCAACATGGACACTCGGTCAAACGATTACATTTTCTGAGCTCCCTTATCAGCTGCTGAGTTCTGAAGCAAAGTAATAACCATTTACCCCGAGAAGGAGAATTCATAACAATTTGAAACAGAGAAGGACTTACAGATCATTGGCGTACTGAATATCAGCTTCCAGAGCTTTTAGAGAATCATGAAACGCTGATTTCCCCATTCCACGGGAAGTAATTTCTGCCTACTACTAAAGATATACAACGAAGAGAATGGCAGAGCCCAATGCGTCAGCAAGAGAGAGAGGGAGAGAGAGAAAGAAGAAGAAGGAGATCGTCGATTACGAAAGAATCTTTTTCCCACACTACAAGAAGAAGCACTATATAATCAACGCACTTTGAGTCCACCAACACCGGTCCCGGTTTTGCCTCCTCGATAATGAATACCAGATTACCAGGCTTGAGATTAATATTGCCCATTGACGATTTTACCCCCATAGGACAGGATTTGTTTTCCGAAGGAGGAAGAGCCGGAGATTCTCTGTGGTGGAGCCTAGTAAAGGCGCTTGAAACATGTCCAATGATTTCAGCAACCGGGCAGGATGGGATTACGTGGAAAGATATGATTGGTGACTTTTGGAGCGGAGCATGTCCGGCATGCCAAAACCGAATGGCGCGGCCCCATGTTTTGCAGTTTTACCTGACGACCAATGAAAAGACCATATTGCCCAATAACAACACCTTTGTTATGGTCTGCTCTTATCAGGACGCGGATGAATTGGATATTTTATTTTATTTGAAGGGAAGGCGACTCATCCGGCCATCCTTATCCTAAATCCTTCTTTATTTTAATGATCCGTTTGGTAGAATGTATTTTGGTGCGAAAAAAGGGAAGGGAAGAAAAATTTCCAATCATGCGCATATTTTGGTAGGCCCTGGAAAAAACGGAGAGAGAGAGAGAGAGAGAAGATCTGCAAGCAACGTTGAAAACCAGCTAACAAACAGGCAAATGTATGGAGACAGACGATTAAACAAGGAAGAAGAAGATGATCGAGTGGTAATTGTAAGGTGATCTGGGAAGATGAAGGGGACCATTTAGGAATTTCGTACCTTAAAAAATTAATTCCCATCAAGAGTGGGAGGAAGCAGGCTTCTCACGGATGAGGGAAAATGTTCAACAGCTGGAATTGGCTCCCTCTAGAAAATAGTGTGGCCGAATGTGTCTGTGAAGTTAAAAACACCTCTCCCTTTTCCCTCGTTTGATTTTTATCTTGCCAAACATCCCTTAAGTTTCTGCATCGATTTTCTTACCTTACCAACGTTGTCGGGGGAAATTCTCCCCTCAAGTTAAAAGTACCCAGTACATTGTTCGGTACTATTGCACCACCATGCCGTCCATATGTGAAATCACAATACCAAAAAATAAAGAATATTTAAATAAAATAAACTAGTTAATTTTTAATGAACATATTCATTACTCTTTTTTTCAGTATTCTTCCTTTTTTACCCTCTGTGTTTGGATTTTGTTGAAAAGAGTTTGAATGACACGGCATGGAGTTTGTAAGAATTTCACAGCTATTCAGATAAAATTTCAACACGAATAACAAGATGCGGCATACATGTCAGTTATCCTTGGATTATTCATAATAATTTTATTATTCCCTCTCGAGCCATTAATTTTACATAAACTAAGAGATTCAATTAAAATAACAAGGACAGATTTAAAACAAGTTTAATTACTTAACTAAGATTTCTTAATTCCTGATTTGGTTAACATCGTCTTATAACTGAGTATCATGAAGTACTATGAAGTGCGCCCACCAAAGCGTCTCTGCCTTTGTTGAAAGGAAGCCAAAGCTTCCACAAACTGCTCCTTTCCAAAATCAGGCCATAAAGACGGATCAAAGAACAGTTCTGCGTAAGCCAGTTGCCACAACAAGAAGTTGCTCACTCTTAGTTCTCCACTCGTTCGAATCATCAGGTCTGGGTTTGGGAACTCTGTGCAATTCGTTTCAAGTTCTTGCTCTATCAAGCTCTCGTTTATGTCTTCTGGTTCCATAGTGCCATCTTTGACCTTCTCCGCTATGGCTTTACATGCCTGCACGACGTCGTATTTGCCACTGTAGCTAACTGCCACTATCAACTGGAATACAGAGCTTTCCTTTGTGTTTTCCTCGGCATATTTTATCATTCTCTGTAGAGAATCTGGGAGTTTTGTTGTGTCTCCTATTACAGAAATTCTAATTCCTTCGCTGCAGGATACCAAAATAAGAATAACATATTTTTTTTAACCTTGATTATTTGGTTATTCATAATAAATTTACAAAGATAAAATAATTAAATAAAGATTAGTTATCGTTTTGTTTGTTTCACGTTAAATTTGTGTAATAATTAATTGATATAGAAAGGAATTAATGAAAAAGATTTTGGCTAGGTTGGCACAAGCTACCTCTTGAAAGCATCAATTTCTGTGGTTATTGTTCTTTCAAAGAGGCTCATCAAAAAATCAACCTCCACCTGCACCACAATCCAATCTCAACATCAGAAAGCCACTCCCTCCAAAACATAGTGTAGTACTTCATCCGCTTTAAAATATAAGCTAAATTTTGTTAGAAGAATTTAATTTTTTTATAAAATAAAATTTATTTTTGTCTAATCATTTAATGAATTTTTTTCAATATTATTCATATATTCTCTTTTTCTTTAATTTATTTATTATATTTTTTACTCATTCTTTTTATTAATAGACATATTTAAAAAAAATAAATATTGTTTTAAACTGATTTTAACTAAGTTCTCAATAAATCTAAACAGATAAAATTTATATTATATTTTGAACTGGATGGAGTAAGAATTATGGGTTTTTCATTCAATCAATGTTAGAGTGCTAGAGAATTTGATAAAAATATTTAAAAACAAATTTATAATTAATTTCATCATACTCATTTAAAAAGTAATGCTGGGCTTAAAACTGATATTCTCAAAAATAATGAACACTTAGGAATAATTATATATCATTTTAAATAACGTCAAATTAAGAAATTTATTGGAAAATAAAATTGAGAAATAAAAAATCGTAAAAGCCTTGACGATATTCATAACATTAGATTATCACCTAAAATGTTTAGATAAAACAACCTGATAACATCGATCAATATTCATAAACAAAATCTAAGAAATTAAAACAACACCACTACACCAGACTAACCCAGTGCAAAACATCTCGTCTAATGTTAGGCTCAAACCTCTGGCAAAAACAAAACCACCTTAGGCTCAACCCAACGTAATATCACATGTTGAGGGGGCTTGCTAACTTGTTGGGCCAATACGGGGAAGACAATCGCAAAAAGAAAAGATTAACCAGTAGGAACAGGGGCCTGTTGGGTGCTCTTCAAGACCATAGTTTGGGTAGGATATCATCTAAACAGTATTAATTTTAGAGAAATAATCTGAAACTATGGTTTGGGTCAAAATCATGGTTTTGGAGTCCAAAACCATGGTTTTAGGAGAAGTGAATCCATTCTACTTCTTACTCAAATTGGAGAGTATGATTGTGCCTGTCAGAGTAGATCTCAACAATAATATGACTTCAACATCCATCAATTAATTTTTTATAAACATATTTAATTTTATATCTTATAAATATATATACACATATTAATTATTTATTAATTATATTATCTTATGTATTATTAATTATGTTAGTAAAAAATGTATTATTAACAATTTTATTTTTTCAAATTAAAATATATCATAAAATCTATCTTTTATGTAATTATTATATTAACTTATGTCTTTTTTAATAATTTGTATATATAAAAAGTGCTTCTGATAACAACTATCCAAACAGTCTTACTTCTCAAAATCACTTTTTCACAAAATCTATTCTTTCCAAAATCTATTTTCCATAAATCATTCTCTAAACTATGATTTGGTTTCATCCAAACAACCCCCGGGTCTAACAAAAAAGACCACTCTCTCACAATTGCGAGCTAAGATTCAAATTTTTCTCGAAAGAGATTTTCACATTGAGAGAGTGTTTGGATGGAATTAAAATTACAGTTTTAAAAACACTTTTACGGTATATAAAGTAAATATGTAAATGAGTTTATCTTAATTTGTGATATCCAACACTCCCTGAGTAGCCAATAATATCTCTAGTAGCCAAAAAAAAATTTTTAAAAAATGAGAGGAAGGAAAAATAACAAAAGACGAAGTACTGAACTCACTTCACAAGTCAACTAGCAATTAACATGCCAACGACCTCCTTGGATTCTTGCACCAAACTACTGCACCCGCTTTTGGAAACCAGAAATTTGTTCTCTCCGCTATATATATATATATATATATATATATATATATATATATATTGAACATTCTCTCTGCTATATTTTTATTTTTGCCCGACCACTATAAATAATTTATTTCCCAACATTTATTATTTATATTCATACTTATCGTTTTATTATTTTACATTTAAATTAAAATAATTATAACAACCATGACTAAACATTTTAAAAAACTGAATCATATTGTTTAAATTAAAAAATAATAACTTTGACACTTTGTTAATACTCCTCCGGTCCTAATTATAAGACCCAATTGACTTATTTGAGGAGATTAAGGAAGTAAGTTAAATTGGTTATTTATAATAAATAAGTATTGTCATTCCTAAAATATCCTTGCTAATTAAGTATATTGACTAAAACTATCATTATTAGAAGGATTATCTTGGAAAAAAATGCATAAATATAAGAGATAAAATGGATTGGGTCTTATAATTAGGACCAAATAAAAAGTCAAATTGGGTCTTATAATAAGGACCGGAGGAGTATTTATTTACTAGTATCTATTACCGCGGGCTATTTTATATTGGAGAAAATTACGTACGGTTTCTTAAGCGTTTTCCAATACAATGTTACCACGTGGAATTTCTGAACACCTCATCCCTTTTTCTGGGGCCAACGACATCTCATCCTTTAATAATACAGCAACTAGCTTCACTTCCTCCGTCATAGCTATAAATTTTTTTCCTAACGAAATCACTAACATGTGCGTATACATATATTATAAAATTGAACACAATATGTTCAACGCCCATAAAAATTAAACATAATACCAGTATTTTGTAATAAGTATATATATTTTTAAATATATTTGCTAATTAAATATTATTTTATAAATATTTAATATGTATAATTATTATGATGACTATTTTTTAAAAAAATAAATATAAAAATAAAATTAATTGAGATGTTTTATTTAGAACTAAATTAAAAATAAAAATAGGAGATAGTATTATATTGACCGATTTTGATTTTTGAAGAATACCAATTCCTAGTTCTCGTCGGTCCACAGTCGAATGGATCTTCCCCCCGGGTCGATGAAATGTTTGAAATATTATTTTCATTTAAAAATTCGGAAAAAAAAAAAAAGGTCGTGCCCGTGAAGCTTGTTCCAGATAAAGAATCAAGAAGTACGGCACCATGAATAAATTCGGACACAGATAGTTGCCGACGAAAATGAATATGAACGAATGCGGAGACGGAACTAACCTTTGGACGAACCCAATTATCATAAGAAAAGGCGAAAACCGTCAGAACCTTAATCCCCCAACTACAACATAGTTCGATAATCCTCCTCAGCGACCGCACGCCGGCTTCGTGACCCGCCGACGGCATCAACCCTCGCATCTTAGCCCACCTCCCGTTTCCATCCATAATCACCGCCACGTGCTTCGGTATCAGGTCCGGTCGCAGCTCAGGCGGCAACGGCTCCGGCTCCCGCGAGAGTTTGGACCCGACGGCTCCGTCGCTTGACTCGCCCGGAACCTCGACGGCCGCTTTTTGCGAAGCGAGGGCGAGAGTGCGACTTCGAAGATTGGTAACACTGGGAAGGGAAGGGTATCGGTGTGTTTGGGAACGAGGAGAAGAAGAAAGAGTGTGAGGTTTGGGAAGAGGAGTTATATTCTCAGCTGAAATTGGAAGCCTTTGCAGGAACATGGTACTCCTGGCCGGGAATAAGAGCAAGGCTTGTGTTGGCGCCACGAAGACGTTGAAGATTGGCTTCGCTCCTGAGAGTGGGCTTTTATTTATAAAAGAATCTTGTGGCAACAAGTAATGCAAAACGGAACCAACTCGGGGTATAAATTTTCATTCTGGGAAAATTAGTGTGAAAGCCGGAGTAGTGGAATATTCGCTTATAAAAATACTACCTCCTATTCTTGATATAAGAGTTTATTTGATTTTTATTTTGATTCTAAATATAAGACCTCAATCTATTTTGTATCTCATATTTATCGATTTTTTTAAAGTCCTTGTAATAATGATAATTCTAATCAATACACTTGATTAGCAAGGATAATTCAGGAAAAATAATATCTATTTATTACAAATAATTAACATAGCTAATTTTTTTAATCTACCCACATTAGTCAACTAACTCTTATATTAAGAACCACTGGTATTACTATTTTCATTTGATTCTGTTTTGTTAGCCAAAAAAAAAATCTGTTTATATCTTTTTCCAAATCTAGTATCATAATATGCATGATGCATCATTATTATACTACGTCCAAATAAATCTAATTACACTGCAAATTGATATGCAAAAAAAATAGAATCAAATGATATGAAATTATACGGAAGTATTTAATTGTCAACTATAAGTGGATTCTCTCCACACTATAGTCTAGTAATATCAAGTCTCCTTAGACCCAAATTGTTATTGAAAAAAAAAAAAGTCATATTTTTCTGATTCTAAATATAAAAACTGTTTTGTAATATCATTTATATTACGAAATACGTTTATAATTGGTAAATAGCGTAACTTGAATAAATTTAGTTGTATTTGTGAATCAAATTACATGGACATGCACGCGCTTTAATTTGTATAAAGTCTGCTCTAATTATTTGTATTATACTATCTTTGGTCTTAATTATAAAATCTTAATTTGCCCTAAAATTCCTTTCAAATACTACTACTATGACCTACCCCCGGTCCTCAATTTAATATAAAAATTAGTTAACTAATTTAAATAGATTAAGAAAACTAATTGAGTTAGTTATTTGTAATAAATAAGTGTTGTTTTTTTTAAAATACTCTTACCAATCAAATATTACCTTCAGTCCTAAATATAAAAGCTAGTTGACTAATTTGAAGAGATTAAGAAAATAAGTTAAGTTAGTTATTTGTAACAAATATATGTTGTCTTTCCTAAAATATATTTGCTAATTAAGTTTATTGGCTAAAACTACCATTATCAGAAAGGCTATCTTGAAAAAAATAAATAAATACGAGAGATAAAGTGAATTAGGATCTTATATTTAAGACCAAAATAAAAATCAAACAAACTTTTATATTAATAACCCAAAATAATACTATTTATATTGGATATTTAACAGCACCAGGCAGACCGATATATAATTCATTTTTCCGCTCTATAACATATAATCAAATTCAAAGGTCGAAAAGTCCTTGTCGAAAAAGGGGGTAGTTTTTATTCCTCCTTGCACACTTTGAGCCTCGGACTATTTGGTTAAATGCTTGGACAAAAAAGGAAAAGACCATTTGGTTTTTTTTTTTTTGAGTGAAATATTTGTTTTGAAAGATGTACGTATTAAACAGGATAAAGTTGGATAGTTGGTTAATTGCACATTGCACAAATCGAACGATCCCAGATCCTTTTGGCGAAGAAGAAAAAGGAGGTAATTCGCTCTCGCACGTTGCTGAATTTCAGCATCAAATGGCTGGCAGGGAATGGCCCCACTTTGACGGAAGGCCTGTGTTTCCAATATCACCCAAGTAAACGATTGAGCTAATTTCTTGTCAGTTACTTGAGCATCATTATCGGTGCTTTGGTTCACATATTTTGAATTTAAAATTTTTAAAGACAAGGGAAAACTTAAAATAATATACCTGTAGAAAAAGAAAATCTATTTTTTTTTTTGTAATTTCGATTAATTTCTGATCTTGTTCTTGTACTCCTTTTATTTTTAATGTCAAAGCTGCTTGACAAATTTAAAATATATTAATAAAACTAAATAAATTATTTAATTATAATAAATATGACTTCATCTTCTTATAATATTCTTGTCTTAATTAACCTTTTCTTATTTGTTAAAATAACTTGATGAAAGACATAGGTTTTTGGTTGGTAGATAAATTAGTTTTGGTTATCCAATTAAAACATAGGGAAAATAACATTAAAAAAAAAGGTTAGAAATTGTAATATTTTAATTTAAACATCTAAGACTTCAAAATTTTAAGGGAGGTAGTGATGCCTAGTCGGATATTTTGCAAATGTAATTAAATAATAAAAATATCCTTCTATGAAAAAGTTTATTAACAGGTTGTGAACTAATAATGACAAGTGTTGAATAGCAAATAATAAGAAATATATTGGCAACAAAAAGTCGTATATTAATAAGTTGTGAATCGACAATAACAAAAATTAAATAGCTAATGACAAGAAATGTATTAATAATGAAAAAATTGATAGCATTTTTTTATAAAAAAATAATAATACAAGGACATCATTGTCACTTGACTACATTCACAAAATATCAGACAAGACACTACTTCCTCCTTTGAGATTTTGAACTTTCATGTGCCTGAATTAGAATATTACAATTTTCAACTTCTTTTATGTTATTTTTGTTTTAAACATATGTATATAAATTTTTATTATTTCTCTAGGTTACTAACTAATGCAAATTATCTTATACGTTGTTATTCCATATAACATTCATCAAGAAAACATCAAAATCAACATACCTTTATAGACGAAACTGATTTACATAACATTTTGTTACATCACATCAATTTAGGCTGTGCACCTTGTGCTTAAAAATGAAATAAAATTGTTTCTTAAAATAATAGAGAGCAACCATTAAGACAGGAAAATAAATCACCAACCGCAATAAAATCCAAAACTGTTGAAATCAATAACTCCATATTTTCATGTGAGTCTCATTTTTTTGTCTGTCTATAGTATATCTTCGCTTAAGCTTTCCATTCATCACACGATAAATGGACTAGCAATATTTATATTTGAAAAAAAATGAATCTGGCGAGGGAGAAAATATATTTAGAAAGACTAGGGAGAGACGCAAGCCGCAATTGACGGCAGCCTCTCAAGTCACATGCAAGTGGAAGTTTGCGAGTTGCGACAAAAAGCCACGAAGAGAAGAGAACCTTCTCGACGATATTCAAATATGGACCACAAAAAATCAAAAATGTATTTAGATTGAAATTGGACAAAACTGATTTGTGATCAAACTGATTTTTATAATTGAAATTAAAGTAAAAGTCAGCTAGTATAATGTGATTTATGTTTGGATAGGTGCTTATAAAAATTTAAAAAGTTGAAAGTTGTTTAGATGATTAATAGAAAAATTAGTTTAGTTGTAAAATAACTGAAAAGGGCATGAACTTTATTGAATAGTCTTGTTTGAAATTTTATATTTTTAATATGATAATAATTTTAAAAAATACATAAAATTATTATGATAAAATATAAATAGTTTATTTGTGAAATTATAAAATAAAAATACTTGTTACAGAGAAAAATTTGAAAACACATCGTACATAAATTTAAAAACATATTATAGATAATTAATTAAATATATATAATAGACAAAAATAAATATAAATTAAAATTTATCTGGTCTAAATAAAACTCACTATGCTAATGCCGTTTGAAATTATTACCGTTTGAAATTGTAATTTGAAATTAAAAAAATTAGATTTTCCTCCACTAAGTCTAACTAAAATTAAAGACCAACAGTTGGTTGGGATTAAAATCCCAACCAAACAACCATTTGTGTCCAATTCAGTTGTAAATTTCAGTTTTACATTTTTCTAGGAGTTTTTATCCTTTCTAACTACAATCCAAACATAGCCTGAGCGTACTTATCTTGTTCTCCCCAAAGCCGTGCCCCTTTACGTGCTGAAAATAACAAAAAGAAAACAAAATTACATCCGAAGACCATATATTAAAATTTAAAAATATCATTTAAATAGTATTGTTTGTTTTTTTTTTTTTGCCAGGTACAGATTTTTTTTTTATTGAAAGCCATCCTGTTTAAGATACTATTAGACATTAAATATAAACATCTTTCTTAATAAAAATTCAAATATTAATTCATTTTGCATTGTAAAAAATTAGATTTTTTTCATTACACTGAATCCTGTTTTGTTTTTAAACATGAGGGAGATCAGGCATTCAATCAATAGAAACGAGGGCCCATACTGCTTGTCGGACTCCATGCTACATGGACAGCATCCACCTAACGTTTTTGGGTGTGTTCGGGATAGTAGTGTCCATTCAAATATTTATTTTTTTAAAAATGATTTTATTATTTAAAAAATAATTTTTTTTAATATTAAAAACCAATTGGCTGGATTTAAAAGAAAAAAAAGAATTCACGTCATGCATTCTCTCTCCTCCCTCACTCATGAGCCCCACGAAATGTGTAGTGGAGAAGCTTTTTTTTTATTTACCAATCGCAGTGGAAAAGCTGAAGGCAAGAGCTTCTGAAAAAAAGTCCGTTTCTAGTATAAGTCCATCTCTCTTCACGGTAAATTCAAACATTTCTTTTAAACAAAAAGCTACTTTTACCGTTGAAAAAGTCAGTTCGAGATCCTTACCGTGATCCCAAACACACCCTTTAATGCAAAAAGATTGAGGGAAAAAAAACTAGTTTCTTGTCACAATGTAGCGAATTAGACTAAGGGGATATCTGGATATTTTTAGAATTGTTTTTTTTAAATTTTTTTTGTAAATCGAGAAAAATTCTTTCATATATTTACTTTTTATACTGTCAAATCACTTCTAAAATCATGATTTGGTTTCCATCTAAATACTTCTTAAAAAAATTGTTCATATTTATTGTTTGACTCAGTCTGATCTCCTTCTCAAGACTATTGTAATTGTCTTTCCGCAGTTTCAATTAGGGGTGTTTAATTTGTCCCGTCCCGGTCGTCCCGTCCCGGTTCCGATGAGTTCGGGACGGGACGGGACGGGACAAGTACGGGA